GAGCGTTAGCTTTCGACCAATGTCAGGAAAAGGCATTGTCTCCCGGAGAGAACTACCTACTCACATCGAACGTGACTGCAGCTTCTTATAAGTTGCAGAGCGTTCCTTATTTGTACTTTCTGATGGGGTTTCTTAGCATCGGTTGACTTTGCATTGTAATGGACGCTCTGGGACAAAGCTGGGAGCGAAGGCCACTTCTGGTAGGAGGTCCGGCTTAAACGGATAAACCCCTGTAGACCTGAACCCAGCTACTGCAACTCCTGGGGTGGCAGTTATCATGCAAGATTCGGTTAACAGATTTGAAAATTGAAGTCAGCCAATTCCCCTTCCAGGATTCTCCTTCTTGTAATTGTCCAGAGCTTCATTCAAATACATTTGAGAGGGTGGAAAAATTTCTGTCCAGTGACTGGAGTTCATGGCTGTAGTGAGCAGGAAAACAAAGTACAGCAATACCTCGCATAGTCCGGGTAATCGGTTCCGCCAATATCCCGGACTGTTTGAAACCGGACTAATCGAGGAACTAAATACATACACAAAATTATAATTGGTTCAAAAAAGTTATCCGTTTTTCAATAAATAAAACTCGAATAATAAATTCAAATGTCTTTATTGGAAATAATTTTAAAAATTCATGTTTTTAGCAACTCATTTTTTTATTCTCTAAAAATTTCAGTATTAATGTCTGCACATTTTTTTTCTTTGGCCCTTTCTCTTCATACATTCCTTTGTAGCAACGAATTGCATTGTTTATCGCTCGGCGAACTGTAAGGCTACGTTCAATAATGGGATCAACTTCCATAATATGCTCTGACAAGGTTTCACCCATTCCAATAATTTTTTATAGTTGTTCAGCTGTTAATTCTCGTGCAGGCACTTCAACACAGTCGTCGTTGTCTAAGTTGTCCTCCCTTTCTTCATAATCCCCCTGTTTATCTATGATAATAAGTGTTTTTTATTATCTAGTTCATTAGTGTTCGATTTGATGCACTCAATTACGCTGACGGAATCTAACTCATTGAAACCAAGTTGCTGTCCAGTTTCCACTATGTTACTAGTGACTTCAGCAAAATGAGTTACAAAACCAGTGAAAGCATTTGCACAATGTGTTATGATATGTTTCCATACTGCCCTCATATTGCTTGCCGTTAATTCATGCCACGCTTCGCCTATATTTTCGATAACGTTTCTGATGTTGTAGCTCTTCCAAAATTCTGTTAATGTAGTGCTCTCCCCACCTCCTCCAGCGATAGCTGTCAGAGCTCAGGAACGAACGACCCGAGCATAAATATACAACGGGGAACCCCAGAAGAAATTTAAATATGTATCGTATCGCAGAACTTTAAAACCACACAAAAATAAACCGCACAGAAAGAGACTTGACTGTATAAAGGAAAAAGCGATCATTTATGTATTAAAAATAATTTTGTGTACTAACTTTTTAGAATATATTTGTATTTTGCTCAATTAAAATTTAGTTTGTTTTGTAATTTTCAAGCCGGACTATAGTGAATCCGGACTCATCGAAGCCGGACTATGCGAGGTATTGCTGTACTTGATGTCTCACGTTTCTGATTCCATAACAGAGAGATCGAGACGAGCTCGATGCCGATCGAGAATTAAAAGGGCTCTTCCAGATAACTGCTGATGATAGAAATGATGAAAAAATTTACAGAAATGTTCTGTTGTTATGTATCACCTTTAGAGTCACACTAAAAGTACTCGTAGTTTCTGCATTAAGATCATCGCCAAAATCTTCCAGTCTGTACTTTCTCTTATACGGAATTAATCAGTTTCCACTTACTCTACGTAGCCCATTAGAGTCGCTGTATCTCATTTTTCTCCGTGAGCAAGTAAAAAGTAAAAAATAAAGCTATCCCTGTAACAGGCCGTGGGGGCCCGTAGGGGTGTGAGTTGTTGAGGTTCCCACATTTTCTAGACAATCGGCTCATAGATGGCGGTAAGTTTGTCAGCCTTACGCGCCGGCCGCCCTTTACCCCCAAGAATATTCCTGGTACTCATTTCTGTTAGAGACTGAGTCGACCCCAGGGCCTTAGTGCGGCTGGCAGGATTAGGTAAATTGAAGAAAAAAATCCAATGACCTGATCGGGATTTATCCCGCGACCTTCCGGCTCGTAGAATAGTGAGTAACAATAGGAAATTTTCACTGCCTTCTGAAGCCAACAGCTTTGATTACCAGAATCCCAAGTCAGCCGAAGCCTTGTCTCATCCAAATTGTATATTAAATGAGATTGTTTTTACAAATTCATAGCGTCCCTTGCTTGCCTTGAAAGTTTGAAGGAATGGTCTAGGTTTTCCTTCTCAAATACCATCAGTTTGTTATAGCGTTCCCCTGAGTTAAACCTGGGTTTCTTATAAGAAATCATACTTCTCCATCACTCCGCAATTCTATGGATTCTGCATGCTGTGTTCCTTGCATACTTGAACAGAAGATCTGCGAACGTGATTTGGTGTTAAGTCCAAAACCAACTTGTTGTAAACGTACTATTCTTCGGCGGAGTTGTTTTTCAACATCCATAGGTAAGACTGTATTTCGTCAAAGTCTCTTTGATGGAGATCTCTCGCTGTTAACCCGGTCATGAATTGTCCTTCGAGAAATACTATGTATCCTAGATGCAGCTGCAAGGGGAGTCCCAGACTTTACAGCAGACATGCCAATCTTCAAAGCTTATGTTGGCCATTGTGTCTGGACATTTTCGTATGTTTTTAACATATAAAAAGATATTATCAGATTTCAAACCAAATTCTTAAAGAAGAAATAAAGAAACCAACGGAAGAAAGATAGGTATGTGATAGGAAAATGAATGGAAATGAGTGTAACTTGAAGACACCAACATATAACGGAGCTTATGTTGAACTAAACATGTTAATTTTGCTACTGCAAATATAGCTTTCACTTATTTTAACTTAAAAATTGATAAAATGCAAAATAAAACTGGTGACGTTATCCTACTGGACAATGCCATTGTTAGGCGAACTGTAATGATCTCGTTCAATGCAATAAAATTAAAAGAATAGATACAGAGGATTTTAATGCCGTCACCGGAGAGAATAAACACGACATCGAGTCACATACAGGTGTTAATAACATCAGCTGATTAGTCTAACACTAAGGCTCATAACCTATGACCGCGCCAGTATCCAAGCATTCCAGAATGGAAGTAGTGAGTGACACGCGATAACTGTTCGAACGCTTGCAGTATACTGAGACAGCGCTCGATAGGTTAAAGGTGGCAATGTTAGTTGGAGGAAGTAGCACAGTGGTCACAGCAACTAACGCCGGCGAAGTCTCGACGATATTTTCACGGCTACTTTCAGCAAATTCTGGAGGCGTTATTATCCGCCAGGCTTTAATTGTGCGCTCTACCCGCAGCGATTGGAATTGGACTCTCATGGCCTGTTTCAAGGATTTATCTCCACGTTCTCCTGGAGGTTCTGAGGAAATCACGGCACTATGGTTATAATTCCGTCCGAAGTTCGAAACGGGACTAGGGCGTTACCGTTACATCAGCCTACTCGGTAGTACAATATTAAAATAGGTGCTAGGGAGGTGGATTGTGAGGAATTGAACTGAGCGAATTTGTTGAAAATCGTGTCCTTTGCTAGTTTCTTTATCGGCGTTGTATAACTCTAGAGTTCGGCTGTGCTATCGGAGAATGAAATATTGTACATCAGAGTTCTCTTCGTACCAAGTAATGAATCCTTCAGACAGTACTATACGTATTATTATTATTATTATTATTATTATTATTATTATTATTATTATTATTATTATTTGGGGGGGGGTTCCCCATGCACTGCGACCAGTTGTTGATCTATTGTGCGTCCCCCTATAATTTCTACCGTCGCCATGCCCTTCCAGTACTGGTGCTCGCTATCAGCCCCGTTCTGCCAGCGAGGTCGGCACTCTCTGGCAGTGGTCCCCGATACTTCCCCATCTACCGGAAGAATTGGAAAATATTTGGGCGGGAAACTTTGCCTAATTTTGCTCAGAGGTCTCCTAGAGACATGAGGATCTTTTGCGTGCCGTAAATCTACGACACGGGACACACGGCTTAAAGTCCCTCCCGGAGGACTTGTTCCCTGAACTTTTCCGCCCTCAAAAATTCCACAATCTCCGCCGGGTTTGAACCCCCGTACCCTGAGATGGGAACGTTACCCCTAGTCTACGGAGGCCTCTTGTACTATACGTAAGTAAAAGTCCTGCCAATTTTAACATCATCGCCGTACTCCCGTCTTCACATTCCGCTATAAACGCAGATCAGTAGCCTCTTTCCAAGCATTCATAAAGAGGCAGCAACTGAAGACTCTGTAGACTGGAATTGAACCAAAGAATTCATTTCATAGTCCCTAGGTCAGTACCCTAAACAATGCTGCATAAATATATTATTGTTAGTATTGGTAATATTATTATTTTCATTGAAAGAAACCTTCGTTAATGTTGCTAATTAAAGAATATATTTTATTTGAAAATTAATGTAGGCTCTAAACATTTTCGTGGGTTGGTTAGTTCTCTCCTTTCATAATCGAAACTACCATAACCGAGGTTCTTAACATTCATTTACAGTTCTTCACAATCCAAGCGACTATTCATTTTCGATCAGCTCGCCAGATGTCACTCATAACTAAGAAAATGCAGAAATGGATACAGTATCATGAAATAATCAAATAAACTGTAAACAGTGAAGTTGTTCCATGCTTAATTAATTTAGCCTCTACGCTACAGAAACCTATAGGGAAATGGTGGTATGGCTTCATCATTAATTTCACCACTAGATGGACGTGAGCGGTCAGCTTCACGCCTCTGCCGCTTTATCCCGGCGAAACGGCACTCGGTATGCTTTTTATAGTGGGCGGGGTGTGCCTCTGGGGCGGTCTGAACCCTAGGGAGGAGATAAGAACCTCTTGTCTTTGCCTGGAATTGAACCTAAAGAGTTAAATAGTCAAAGGGACAAATAAATAAAATCCAAGACAACACTTACTTGCCAGGTTCCAAACCCAATGGCAGGCATACTGGCGCCTGTGCGCAACTTCAGAAGAGACGCCATTGTGCTCTCGCAAGACACGTAGTGGACACCGTGGGCACTGAGAGGACCGGACAGGGCTGACAGGCACACGGACAGGAACTTAGCATCGCTCGGCCTTTCCGTTCTGCTAGCTCCTGCTAAACCGTTCTGCCCCCACCACAGATACCAACCTTCATTCTTCTCACCTTTCACGTAGAATTGCCGGAGTGTGTCCACCGATATTGGCGCTTTTCTAGGCAGTCGGGGGGGGGGGG